CTAAACTCGTTCCAGAATAAAAATGTTTATTTGAAAAAAAAAAAAGAAAAGAAAAGAAAAAGGAAGAATGTACTTCTTCGGGAAGACACAGCCAATGAGTGAGGCCACATGACTTGGAAAGGGTTATATGTACTGGATTTTATCTCCCATTTGCCCCTCTAGGGAGGAGCTTCCTTACACAGTGAACAGCCTGCCCAACCATACATGGCCCGCACGGCCCTCAGATGGCCCCTGCCCTCCATCCTGAGAAAGCCACTTCTCCAAGACAATCCAAGCAAAAGTCACCCTGACTTAGGGCCACCCAACTCCCTCCTTCGTGCTGCATGCATTCGATTACACACCACCTGAATACCCAGCACTGGGCTCAGCTCTGCAAGGAATACAAAACACAGATTAGAACATTGGCCACAAGGGGCACCTGGGTGGCTCAGTCAGTTAAGCGTCCGACTCTTGATTTCGGCTCAGGTCACGATCTCACAGTTGGTGAGTTCGAGCCCCGCGTCCGGCTCCCACGCTGACCGTGCAGAGCCTGCTTTGGGATTCTCTCTCTCTCCCTCTATCTCTGCCCCTCCCGCTCTCGCTCCCCCTCTCTCAAAACAAATAAATAAACTTCTAAAAAAAGAAAGAGAGGAAGCTGGCCCTGAATGACTTGTGATCTGTACTGAGAGGGACCCGGGGATCCTGAAACCCCTCTCTTGGGTTGTCCCAATCTGCAGGTGGCCCTGAGGCTATGTGGACAGGCCAGGGTTGGGAGAGAAACAAGATGGGAGGGGAGCAGCCCGGTGGACGCAGGGCTGGGAGGACAGTGGGAAGGGCTGTGTGCTTCCAGCGTGAGTTCACTGCTCTGACACACGACTGGCGGGGCCTCTCCTGCTCCCCCACTTTACAGATGAGAAAACCAAGGCACAGAGAGGCTCGCTGACTTGCCAGAGATAATACACTTGTAGCCGCTACATTGGAAGCGAATTTAGGTTCTCCTTATAGGTTCTCCCTCCTTCCCTCTGTGAAGACACAGAGTCCAAAGCTGGCTCCAGGCTCCCAGCTGTCAGCACAAAGCCCGATGCGGGGCTCGAACTCACAGACCGCGAGATCATGACCTGAGCTGAAGTCGGACGCTCAACGGACTGAGCCACCCGGGCGCCCCTAAGAGGATCCACTTAAAGTGCACCGTTCCGTTCATTTTGACAGATATATACACCCATGAGACCTTCCCCCAGATCAAGATACGGAATATTCCAGAACGCTCCCATCACTGCGGGACGTTCCTGCCCTCCCCCCACCACACGCAGAAGCTCCGATCTGCTTTCTGTCTTCCTAGATTACTTTGCCTTTCCTAGAATTTCACATAAATGGAATCACACAGTACGTGACCTTTTGCAAAAGGCTTCTCTCACTCGGCGTGTTTCGGAGAGACATCCGGGTCGCTGCGTGTGCTGTGGTCCGTCCCCTCTCATTAGCGAGCAGGTCCCTCACGGGGATGTGTCACCGTCTGGTTACTCATTCAGTCCTGTACTCTTTTAACCACACTTCGCAGACTCACTGAATCACAGATACGCGGGGCCTCTGGGCATGCGTAGAGGGATCGCCCCTGCTCACATACCTCCGATGACGGGGAACTCAGCCCCTGCTCACATACTTCCAATGACGGGGAACTCATTTCATTAGGAGACCGTCTCTTCCACCCTCGGGCAACTGGGCCTGTTACAAAAGCTTTCCTCATTTCAGCCCAATCCACCTCCCTAGATTGTCCCCACAGAGGTCCTAACTCTTATTCTGAGGCCACTCAGATCAGTTCCCGGCCTCCTTCTCACCACAAGCCTGAGGATTTGGGAATCGCAGCCTCCACCCAGCAATGTACTGGTAAATGGTTGACTTCTTCCTCTAGTTCAGTTATTTTTCCTGGTATGCAATCTTCCATGATATGAATGTCTCAAAATGTATTTCTCCAATCTCCTGTTAATGGATATATATGAGTTTGCAAAGCCTGCTTTACAAACAGCTCTGCTATGATCATGTGCGGACTCCTGGAGCTGGCGTGTGAGATTTCTCTAGAAGTGGGGCCGCAGAACTGGAGGCCATGTCCCTATTTTCCCTCAATCGAGACAGAAGTCATGCTTCAGGGGCGCCCATGGTCCACACCCTCGCCTACACTTGCCCTTGTGGCCCTCTTACTTTGGTCAACCTTGTGGATGTGAACTGACATCTCATTGCGGTTTTAATTTATATTAACTTACCTCTGGTGCCGTTGAGCATCTTTGCAAGCATTGATGGGGCATTCGTGTTTTGTGTTCCCTAAATTGCCTCTTCATATTTTTTTTGTCCATTCCTCTATTCTTCTGTATTTATTTGGAGAAGTTCTTTGTATAATCTGATTTCCAAACTTAAATTGCCTATCTTTTTTCAGACCTTTGGGTTTGGGTTGTCTTTTAATCGGTTGTGACTTTGAATGACCAGGTTTTGTGTGAATGTAGTCTCCTGTAAACTTCTTCCCTGATGGCGTTGCTTTTGGAGTGAGTTTTAAGAAATCCTTCCCAAAGGAATAAAGAAGGAAAGAAAGAAAA